TCATCCATGATCATTGGTATCATAGAAATTACACTGAACGATGTATTACGATGGGCAGAAGACAATTTTTGTTGTGCATTTTTTTTAATTACATGCACAGTCTTTAATATGCTGATTTCAATGGAAGCTACTTCCTGAGATGTAGATCTGGGCCTAAATAATGTGCCTAGTATATCTCAAAGAGCCTGTAACAGGTATGAAAACTGAATGTAAATTCAGCATTAATATCCTAACTTTGCCTGTTTTGTGTTTTTGTGTGTGTGTGTGTATTCGTTCATTCTTTCTTTCCTTTTTTTTTTTTTATCTGTGCCTTGCATAAATGTGACATGCAGTGTTGTAGTTTCCCTCAGTTTGAAACACTATTTTCTACAGTGATTTTATTATCGTTTCCTTTTTCTAATGCCATTGGAGTTCACCTACATTAAGGACTTTTTTGGCTTATCTGTATTGGCATAGCTATATTCACAGTTAAGAGACTACTGTTCAATGTCTTTTTAAAAAGTTTAGTTTTTCAACTACGTTTTTCCCTTAACAAATTTTGTTTTTAAAGAGTATGGAAAAATATCCACAATCACAGATGGAGGCAAGTATCCATATGCTCTTCTATTTGACTGAACCATAACAGGAAGTTTTTATATCCCCCCCGCCCTTTCCTCCCTGCCCACGCATACTACTTGTTGCATTTAGTAGTTGAATTTCCCTAAGAGAGAAACCTCCTTAAGATGCGAGCATCACTTTTACTTGTTTAAACTGCATTGGGTTTTGCTGGCCATCTGTGGGGATAAGGGAAAAGACTTGGCATGTGTTGCAGTTTCAGCTGAAAAAAGTAATTTTGCCGTCGTTTCCAATACACTTTTCTCTTATCTGCAGAATAAATGCCATTAAAATTTGAGAAGTTAGTGACTCATCAGATTAAGCAACTAAAGAACATTTTTCCCCTGGATAGTTAATGAATTTTTTTTGCTCTTTCTTGATATCTGAAGGGCAGCCTTAGTAGCATCCTAGTTGGAAGAAAAATAAAATGAAGGACAGAAATGTTGATTCAGAAACTTCTAGGGGCCTGAATTTCAGAGATACTGAGCAAACAGTGATTTCGGTGCAGATGTCCATCCCTGGCAAGAAACTATACAAATATAGTATATGTGTTTATTTCTTCTTTTATTGCATTGTATTTAAATATGCATTTTGAAAATCACAATTTGTTCATTTGTTTCCTGTCCCAAACTATTGTATTTGTAGAGACTCAGTGATTTTACTGAAACGTAACAAGTAACTCTCGCTTGGGCAGAATCACTGGCACGTTGCACTCCAGCTACATCTCTCTGTGTATTTTTTTTTCTTTCTTTCATTGCATTTTGCAATGAGATTTTTGTGGAAATGGCTTTCAATAGGCTGTATTGCATCTCATCAATTTTACTGGGATTTTGTTGTTGTTGCTGAAGTTATAAACAAATCTAGGCTTTTGAGTTCGTTTTGTCTTTGCCGTGACATTTTTATACATTTTGAACAAGATAGGCATAACATTTTCCACTGTTCATTTGAGAATATCATCATTTGGAAGGCAAAGTTTTAAGTTGGCTCCTAAAACAGCAATTGTTTTTTACTAAGTATAAAATCATTTTTTGCAAAAAAAGTGCTTTGACTTGTCTGTTACTAATATCACAAAAATTGTGGTCTCAGGTCTATCATTTTTTTTACCCTTAGAAGCTTGGGAGTTTTTATTATGTAGATGTGGAATATAGTAGTTGATATTCTTACTTGGGAATACGTTTATTTTAAAGCACATTTATTCCTTTCCCGAGTAATATTATTCGTGGATCTGCTGCTTGTCTCCATTTTGCATTTCAGGAGAGTGAAAAATGAGATGGTATCTAGTAAGTAGGTATCACATTATAGAATTTATGCTTATTTTGAAAATTGAATATGACTAAGGACTACCATAGTCTTCATGTACAAGAAAGTACATGTAAATTGCATTTATAATTGAAGCTGTCCTCCCCTGTCATGAATGGCGAGAAACGTTACTGCACTGCTTGAGTTTAAATGTGCTAGTAAGCAGGTCCTAGTGAAGATCACCTATCTTGCTTTTCTGGGGCTTTTCAACTCTGACTTAAACTGTGTGGATATTCATAGTTTTCAATAGCATAACTCAGGAGTGAAAAGCAAAAGTAATGTTTCGTAATTGGTAACTGTAAAGATGCACCATGACACCTTTAAATAACTGCATAACATTGTGTTTCTACTTGTGGAGCTTTTTTTTTCCCCCCCCCCCCCCCCCCTTCTTTTTCTGTCCTGCTGTTTATTGCTCTTAGTGGTTGTACCTTGTCTTAGGCTGCAAGTCTGAGGCAGATGAAATGCCTTTTGATTTGCGGTACGCAGTAGTGAGTGTTATTCTGAGAGTACAAAATGTAATAAATCATTGCAGTGGTGACCTGAGGGCAGGGGGATCCATCCCTTAAAGTAGAATTACAAACAGAATTGCAATGCTGATTTTCACAATTTCGTTTTCTGTAGGCTGAGCAGACAGAATTATTTTTAGCTCTTTCATTCTAGTGAGTTCCTATAGCAAACGCGTGGATGCTTGGATTGCCGCTGCTGCTTTGGGCATCGATGCCTGCCTGCACTGGGAGAAGGACAGGAGGAGGGAACGGGCAATAACAGACCTCCATGTGTTATGGAGTAAAACACCTTTGTCTTGTTGCTCGGACTGCGTGATTGTTTTAATTTTATGAGGCTACTCTTAGATTGGCTAACGTTTAGGAAAAAATAAAGCTGGGGGGAGGAGAAAGGCTGTGTAGATGTCTCTAAAAGTCTAATGGACTTTATGGTTTTTATAGTCTCTTAGCAACTTCATTTGTAAACAGTAGAGCTTCTGCTCACCAGCTGTCCAAGCTAAAATGCAAAACAGTAGAATATTCCTATGGCTCCTTTTTATGTAAACAACAATCTTTTTAATAGATTTCGTTGTGTTGACTGAGCTAGTGTCTGCTGTGTTGCAAGAACGAATATTCTTCAGGACTAAAATGCTTAAGCCTTTGCTGAATGTTTATTTAGCATTAGTTCTTTTTGTATAAAAAATGAAATAGATGTAGCGTGCAGACAGATGTGAAAGCATTTTTTGTGAAGTCGCAATAAAAATGTTAGATCATCTCTTGTCATTTGCAATGAGAGATCAAATGTATGTCTCTTAAAGATGAATATTCTCATTCTGGTTTGGACGTTGCATAGGTGTTGTAGAGGAGTGAGGAGTGTGTGTGTGTGTGTGTGCGCGCGCACGCGCGCTCAGGCTAATCGTATGGCTCTTTCAAAGGTGGGAAGTAAAAGTAACTCCCTCCCTGAACCTGGAGGCAGTCATCTGCATCTCTGAAACATGAGATTTGATTACTCCTCTTTAGTGTGTATGATTTAAAATACTGTCTCCAAATTAGACAGTCTGTGGTACAAATCTTGCTTCAATTTTTTAATCTAATGCTAGAGAACGTGTCTTTACAATCCTGTGTGATTCTCTGAGATATATTTCTCATTTATGTAAATGTATCTAATGGTAGCTGTTGTCGAGTGATCTTTTACCCCACTGTCCTTCTGGTGCTTGAGGCTGCATAGCACAAATTAAATTACAGTGATTTGAAAATCTTGATAATAGGGGAATCTGGAACTAGGTACAGTAGAACCCTGTTGTCTTCAAACTTCTTGGATCATTTGTTCATTTATGCGTAAATAGTTAAAGCAAAAGGAGGGGTGAGGACATGAACACTTAATTCATTAATAGTCCATGTATTTAAATAGTTCTGTGTTTTGCAGAATTCATCCTGAGGGTGTTCTCTGATAACATATTTGTAAAATAAAATACTGTAGTATGATGCACATCCATATGCATGTTTTGGTTTCAGCACCGCTTTGCTGTGAGCGTTAGAAATACACAGCAGAATGTTCCTGGCCTGAAGATATTGTGGTATAAAAGAACACTCATAGTGCATATATTTAGATGTTTTAATATTCATTTTAGCCATCTGTACAAGATTTGACACAGTACATTATTGTGCTATTCAGTATCTAGGGGTTGTTAAATGTATGTAGGAGGTAACTGCACGACCCTTTTTGACCACTTCAGAATTCTTATAAGCATTTATATACTTCTAAAGCTAGCTTATTATTTCTGTTGAATATTCCTCCATGTGGTAGGCTGTTAAGCAGAGTTAAGGGAGTTTTCTTAATACCTATTGTGAAGATTACTGGAAAAAAAAATCTCAATTTGTAGTTTTCTTTATGATAAATTCCCCCCCCACACACACACCTTTTAGGTGTGTTCTCTAGGTTTCCAATTAAGTGTAATTCTGTTGTATTGACTCTCAAATGTATTAACTTTCCCACCCCCTGTGTGGCCCTCTTAAAAAACAAAAAAAAAAAAACAAAAAAAAACCCCCAGATATCAATCCAAAATGAGCATGATCCAAAATGAAGAAACTTGCTTACTGTTAACCAGATTATGAATGGAAAAGTGAAATTGCAATAATGAAATCAAAATCTTTTCCTATTGCAATGAAATTTTATTCCAGAGTCAAGGATTTAATAGTCAGCGTTTTCACTTACCTGAGTTTTGCTGTAGGTGATATGAAGAATGTTATTGTCACGTCAGTAATTTTGGAGGAGATCTTGAGGATTGCTTTCTATCTTTTCTAAAACGAGGATGAAGTCTAAGAAATAGAAATTGCATCACCCGTTGTGCATAACCCCAAACTCTTAGCACTTTAGAAAGAGAAAAACAGTAAAATTAAATTATGGTAATATCCTGTTTTCATGCTTATCTTTAGTGAGTAGTTCAATATACATGTATTTGCTGTCTCTGTACTCTATAGTTGTCTAACACCTTCAGCAGCCGTCTACCATTTCCAGAAATGAATGCTTTCTAGTGATGGAACAGAAACAACGCTCTGGTTCTTTTGGCATAGTCTTTTCTGAGACACGTTGATACCAAAGTGCTTTTGTCTCTTTGTTTTCAGAGTTGCAATAGTTTCTAAGTCTTTTGAAGGAAAAACTGATCGAACAGAAGACTGGTATGGAACACAATACAAGCAAGAAGCAATATCTGATGACGTCATTAAGGCATGTTAAAGAACTTACTATATTTCCAATATCCTCAAGTGAACAACAGTTGTAAATTCTTACTTAATTCTCCCTTTAACAGATGGGAGAATTTAAATCTGCCATTCTACATTGCATGGAAATTGTACAATGAGTCTGTTTAATATTATGAGAAATAGGATCTTATGTTAGTCTTTAATTTTCATATTTTATTACATAAAACACTCTAATGGCTTTAAACCATGGTAAGGTGAAATACAGGGACTCTTATACAATGTTTGTTGTAAAAGGTCAGTAGTACGCGAAGGCTACTTAAAATTATAAGCATCAACTTTTTTTAAGCTTCAAAGTCTCTATTAAATGTTAGTGAACTATTTTGTTCTTAAAAAGGAATGTTTTTATGACCGCTATATGTTTAACTGTGTTTCTGAAATTGATCTTTGCAGTTTATAAAATTAATAGATCTTGTAAATTAAATGAGCTTCTAAAAATCAAAACCCCAAAAGAGGAAGCGGGCAAACCATTGTTGAGTCTAGTTATTCATCTGCTCTTTTAAGAAGAGATGGCTGTTCAGTACGCCCTGGCGCTGTCCTGGAGCCACCCAGAATGCTTTGGACAGATGTTGCATAGGAACACGTTGCTTCATTTAGCTTGTCTGTAGCTGTGTTCTTGATGAGAGTTTCTGTTTATGTATTTTTTGCTACACCTTCACTTAGAGTTCACAGTAGTAGAATTGGTGAGATGCAGAACCACTTTCCACTGTACTGTGAACTTTCCAAAATTATTGGTTTTTTAATCTTTTGGCTTCCTTCTTCTGAACATTGCATACTACTAATGGCCTACTCCAACTTTGATTACAGACTTCTTTTTTTTTCTGTTATCTTGCTAGTATTTACGCATAAGCTATTGCAGCACGTTTTTGTATTATCTGTTAGTAAGTGTTTTTACAGCATAAAAGAATAATTGTATTAGTTAAGCAGATATTCCGCTTATCCTCATTGTTTCCATATGTATCTAGAAATGGCAAAATGCTGATCTGAACGGGAAATTCAAGCTTCCAATGAAGAATGAGTTCATTCCTACTAACTTTGAGATTTTGCCGTTGGAAAAAGATGCAACACAGTACCCAGCCCTTGTCAAAGTAAGTTATCTGTATTTGTTCTGCTTGCTAGCTAACCTTTTGGGAAGTTAGCAGTTACTCCTTTGTGTGTTTTTAAAATAGAGGTAATATCTTATTCCAAAGTGTAAATCGTTAAACTTCTTTCTTAAACTAAAAGAATGAAACTCTTGGGTATCACTTGCAAGTCAGCAGAATGTTCTTGCTGACCTTTAGACTATGATTATTTGGGATCCTATGAAAATGATTCCACAAATAACCCAAACTCTTCTTACCCTTTTAAAAGCGTATGAACAATTGATGGAAATAGTATTGAAACTTCATGTTTGTTCAGCAGAAGGACTGCAACTTTCACATTTTTTGAGCCACGTTCAGTAAGTCCAGGGAGTAGACAAGGCTGTTTTGTGCAGCCCATCACATAGCAAAAGTTTGCATTTGCAGGTGGAGAAATGTGCACGCAGGTACATATCGCTCTCCACTATCCTGGAAGTATCATTTAGTGATCCTTAATGTGTTAAGCAAATCTCAGTGGTTCTGAATACCTAAATGTTACTTCTCACTTCTAAAATGCAGTTGTCTCTGAATGCTCATTTCTGTTTTAGGCTTAGCTGGAGGGTAAATAGGAGAGGTCTTCTGCAACTCTGTGTTTTACTTCTACTTGAATAATAAATTAATTCCAAAATACTTTTTGCATGCTAGATTAAGTCTATTTTAGTGCAAACACATCCTTCAGAGGAACATATCTGGTTTGCATGGGGCGCTCTAGGCATATGCTTGAAGCAATATTATTAACAGAGAAGGACTTTAAGCATACGTTTATATTCATCGTGAACTGAGGCCCTAAGCCTCAGCAGCAACAAATTCTACCGCTCTAGTAAGTAACGCTGATGGTTTGCTACAGAAACTTGATGGTCCTGTAGTGTTTCTGTAGCAGCTACACAACTGATCTACGTAAAAGCTTGACTTAAGGCATCATTGCTTTGGAAATATATTTGCTTATCGTTTTTCCTTTTAAATATGTTTTTGAGGGAAATGTTTTTAATCCTGATGAAATAGACGTTCTCTCTTCTGCTCTCATCTTTTTTATCTTACTTATACCAGCAGTTTGTTTGTGCCCTTTTCCTTTTGCTGGCCCTGGAAATTGTCTGACCCCCTAGCAAGAATTGCAAGAGCTAAACCAGCAGAGATTAAATTTATAAAGAAAACATTTTTTCTGCTGGTTTTATATGCCTAAGTGAGCTCACTATGGACTGGACCACTGTTGTGGGACACCACTGTTAGGCAGGGGACAGGAAAATGGATGCAGGAGCAGGATGACCCTCTTCAGTGGCAGTTTGTCACTAGGTCAGCTGTCCCCATCATGGCACATCCCTTACTGACAGCACCAACAGGAAATTCCTTGAAGCTAACTTTGTAATTATCTTTGTCTGTTCCTGCTCTAGAGAAATTATTCCCATGTTGATCATGAGTTCATTCACACAGCTGCAGCCGTTCATCTGCTTGTTAAGATGTCATATGAGTAATGTATGAGAAGAATGTGAATAATGAGAAGGCAGTCTCATTAGCAATGGTGGATGTATACTCAAATGTATATAGCAGAAATGTGAATTTAAGGGGACAAAATTAAACTAAGATTAGAAGTGATTAAGTGAAGTTTTTTTTAAATAGTGTAATAAAACATATTACAATTAGAAGTTAGGTGACTTAATAAAAAACCCCTCTTTTCTTGACACAGGACACTGCTATGAGCAAACTATGGTTCAAGCAAGATGACAAATTTTTTTTGCCAAAAGCTTGTCTCAACTTTGAGTTTTTCAGGTATGCAATATGTTAAGTATATCACACAAATTCCACTCCAAAAGTTTCTTGTTTGTTGGGAATTTGCATTTATGTGGCAAAAACTTACTTGCATGTATTGAGGCTTTTAAAATGGTTATCCTTGCTTGGTACTGTGCAGTAAGATACAGGTAGCAGGAAGGCTGATGTGAATTATGCAGTAGTTGGAACAGAGAGCAATTGGAAGCGGTCATCTATATTAACATGAAAAGTTTATTAAACAAATTTTTCTTTTATGCTTTATTTGCTATACCTGAAATACACCTGCCAATAGCACTACTACTTATTGCAGTATACCTCTTTAAAAATGAGTGAATATTTGTTGAATTATGACTAAATGGCAATTATTTTAAGATAGTATTTTCTTTATAAAATGCTCTTCCAATATGGTTTTGGGTACCTGAATTCTGTTTTAATTTGGGAAGTGCAAGCCAGTATAAAATTTGAAGTGTCTAAAATAGTGGGAAATTCCATAACTAGCAGCAATAATTAATTTTTTAGGAGAATGCCCTCTGTATTATCAATTAATGTGCTATTATCACCTCAAGATGCATATTAATGTACTGTAATGTTGAATCTGGCCTTACATTATTTTCATCACAGAGGAGTTACCATTTTTAAGTGAGCATTGAAATATTGCGTCGTCTTAATGCTCCAAATCCTTTCTTGGAGTAATAATTTCTATTTTTTGAAATTTTTTAAAAAAATCCTGCTGCCCTTAGCGTGCAGTGGTTTATGTGCTGGACTACAAAAGATGAAAGTAGTTTCAGAAGCTCTCCTCCTGTGTACTAATTAAATGTGTTAGTGATTTTGCTGGAACAGCTACTTTATGGGCTCTGATAAACATTTATCCTATAGTTACGCTGTTGAGTCCCTGTTCTGAGTGATCACATAAAATTTTTTCTAGATGATCTTGGCACACTTTTAGGTTGAGGGGTTTTCTGGAGAGTGGAGGGAGAAGCTCAACATTTTAACATATGTTTACTAGTAAGTATACCATCCATGTAATAAAAATAACGTTATATGAGAGCCACTTTCAGAAATAGTTTGAAATAGCAGTGCAAAATGCTTCAAGACAGTAACAGAGAAAAAAGTAAGCTCAGAAGAAAATAGTGTGTTAAGTTCCCTGTAATAACTGACTCCAAGGTTTGGGCAGAGAGTATAGAGTCAGGAGAAAGAGAAAAGAACTTGCCTGTCTGAAAATATGTTAAATATAAAGTGCTAAACACCATACCTGGGGGAGCTTATTTTGTGGCTGCTATTTAGGGTGTGCCTGTGACTTAAAGTCAGAACTTGGTACTAGTATTGACCGCTGATTGGGAAAATCATTTCTTCTTTCTATTTGCTTTTTGAAACCACAGGACAAACATTACAACCGTTTCAGCTTTGATATGTCAGGAATGGGAGGGCAAAGTGGTAACTACCTGTTGTTGATACAGAGAAATAGAATTGCAATACTTGGTTTGTATCTGGTGCAGTGGATTTCTACTCTGTTGTGTTTGGCCACAATCCCAAATAGAATTTTATTGATTGAGACTGACTTTATGTTCTACAGGTATTTTAAATATCCAGGTGAACTATGGGGGATACCGTCTCTAAAGCAGTTTATGAAAGATTACAGATAATAGTATGTTTTATGTAGAGCACACAAAGGTATAAATACATGCATAGATGCACAATATGTGTCAGCCTTTCCCAGTTAGATTTGTCCTTTCTTCTCAAGGAGTCCATCTGAAGAGCTAGGAGTACTTGAGCTTTGCTGGCTAATGTAATGGAATGACTTACCTCTTTCTTCCTTGGAGTGATTGTAGAGGGAAAGCTGGCTTGGGTTTGGGGGTTTTTTTCCTTTCCTTTTTTTTTTTTTTTTTTGAAAAAAGGTACATTCATTGCGTATAATTGGATATGAGGAGGCTTTGATAATATTGGCTACATCGTCTCCAAAAGCGGTGGGAAGCAGGTTTGTCAGCTTTTGATACTCCTAAAGGATTCTTAGTGCATCTCTCTCTCTTTTGAGAATAGTCATACTGATTGTCATCAGAAGAAAGGTAAAATCTGTATAGTGTTTCCTAATGAGAAACGATGAAATATCCATGGCTTCTGTGGCTGTTTCTTTTGAGTAGAATTCCACATGTCTTTTCTAATTAGGATATTGGTGAATAATCCCATCTTAATAACGTGCTTTCCTTGAAAAGTTTTAGCCTTCGTCTTCTGTTCTGGAATGAGCCTATTCTGCCTTGTAGCAGATCCCAAGGATTTCTTCACGCTGTAGGCTGCCTCAGTAAGCTGGAAAAAGTAGGGAGATTTCTGCTGCCCGCAGCCCTAACCGTCTTGGATATTTGGAAGGAGAACCAGAGATTCTAGCAGCACCTGCTGTGTACATGAATTGAGTGGAAGCTGATGAGATTCGGGAAACATTCTCCCTCAAACCTAGGGAAACCCTAGGACCTTGCCATGGTGTGAGACTTGCATTAAAGAAATCCTGCATTAAACACCTCTGACATGAGATTGACCATCTAGCTTATAGGATGATAAAAAGCTTTTGCTTTTATATGAATTATGACTTAGGGTCTCAGCAAGTATCCCTTTTTTTTTTTTTTTAAAAAAAAAGGAAGTAAAACAACAATTCAACGTGATACTGTTTTGAAAACTTTCTGAAGGTAGTTATAAACGCTGTACTTCAAGTTCCCAAGGGTTTGGAGAGATGAATGTTAAAATACAATGCTAATTATTTTTATCTGGATGTATTTAAGAAATTTTTTAAGCAGCTTAGTGCCTTTGATTAAAATAATAGCTCAAAGGTAATCCAAGTATCAACACTTAAATTACGCTGCTGGACTCAACAGTTATAACTCTGAAGGGGTGAAAAGACTAGACTAAGATTTTTCAAAGACAGTATCAGTGATTGACTTGCTCTACTTCCTCAAATATAGCTTAAAAAAAAGGTAGACAAGAAATAAGCATTTATTTACAAAGTTGTCAGGAATAGACAATGACTCCCAGAACAGTATTATAATAATAATTTTCTGTTATTTTTCACTCAACAATTGCAAAATGATTTAGTAGTTGTCTGTATTTTCAAAATTCCCTGTTGGCCCCTCTCAGCTAAATGAGTACCCAGAATTTATAGCTGATACAAATGTAGTAATCACTCAGAAAGATCAAGTCTCTTTTCTGGTATCAAAATGGAAAAGAATTTAGTGAGTTTGGAGGGAGATTTAAGATAACATAGGATTGACCTACATCTTGCTTTGAGTTCAGTGTTCATTGGGCATACTAAAATTGTATTTTAGTATACAAATATTTTAGTACTGTGTATATTGTGCTCTCGGTTTTGGGAGAGGGAGCTGTAAACAGCAGAATCTTATATTTCTACTGCTCTGTTTGCTTAAGTGAATACATACTTGAATACAAACCCAAGCCCAGAATAACTACACAGTAGTGGTAAGACAGCATTCCCTGGGCTAAGATTTCAGACTAGCAGGCTTTGCTTCTCTAACAGAAAATGTTTTATCACTTCCTTTCTGTAACCTAAATGGAAGGGGAAGTCAAGGCCTTACTAAAAACTGCTAGGAACTTTCTTAAAAATACCTTTGTGATGTATTTTTAAGTCATCAGTGTATGGGTATTGATGATGTGATCTGTCTTTATTTTACTATATTAATGTTAGTATTCACTGTGAAATACCGTGCTAGATCAACCTGGATACAACCAGCGTGGTAGCTTGTCTGTGAATGTAACCATTAGTGGGGAAAAAAAAAGAAAATGGCATGTTTTTGAATGGTAAGCAATATCTTGACAGCAAATTGTTTTAGAAACTGCTGATTATTTCTGTGAAATTGGTTTTAAATTTACATGTATTTCAGAAGCTGCAGAAATAAATATCTGGTCACGGTAGAAATAGGTAGCCTTGATCCTAGAAATCTTTAAGATATACAGATATTTAACAAACATCAATGCTATTGAAACATGGCTTGAGTCTTTGAGTTGCATTTCTCTTTTTGAGAGATTTGTGGTGATGTTGTATGTGATTTGATACTACTGACACAACAGCAGAGCAAGTGTAGTTGTTGCTGTTAAAAAGATACCACACAAAATTACCATGATATGAAAACAGGTATGCCAGACTTCTTTCCTGAGCTGGGCTTAGGACGTACTGCATATTTTTCATACCCTAAATTGCTAATTTCTTATTTTCTTAATAGCAACTACTTTGTTTTCTAATAGCGTAAAAAAGAATTAATGTTTAGTATCCAGGCTTTCATTTTACTCCACTAAATAATGTTTATGAATTTGTATTTAACTCATTTTACAGTTCATGTGTTCTGAGTTCTGTAGCAAAGTAAATAAAACATGGTTTAATTTTTTGCAAACTATCTCCAGGCTATTTTTTCTGGAATTATCTCTAGAGCCTTCAATGGAATTGGGCAACACCCAGCCATAAAGAAGCTAAGTAATTATTTTCAGAGTATCTTCATATTTAGTTTTAAAATAGGAGTCCTTCATAATGGGATCCATCAGCATATTTGCAGTAAATACTGTTTCTTTCAGATCAAACTTAAAAGGCCAAAAGAAACTGAGAAATAATTTTAAACTGCCTATTTTACTCTCAACGTTTTCTTCCAGCCCATTTGCTTACGTGGATCCCTTGCATTGTAACATGGCCTATTTGTACCTTGAACTACTCAAAGACTCCCTCAACGAGTATGCATATGCAGCAGAACTAGCTGGCTTGAACTATGATCTCCAAAATACCATCTATGGGATGTATGTAAGTACCCAAATCAAGGAAAAGCTTCGAGCCTTAAAACTACTTCCACTCATCAACATTTTTATATTGATTTGATGGAAGCATTTTTATTTAAAAAATGGCTTTTTCCGTTGTGGGTCTAAGGCTGTTATTCCTTTTGATCTTGATCATCCTTTCTTTAATTTGAATTTTAAGTTGAATTTTGTTCAAAGTCTTCAACAATCTTTCCATTCATATTAAGCAAATTTTCTTCTTTCTTTTTATACCATTCATGAAGTTAATTAGCTGTAAGATTTGTTCCTCCTTTGAAAAAAACCTAATCCAGGCTTAGATTTTATTTCAGTTTGTCAGATACCTGCTAAAAACTTTCTGACTAAGGAGGGGCGAAAACCCCCTTTCACTGCTGTTAAATTAATGGTACGCTTCAACTTTCCTTTCCAAGAACTACTGATCATGAGGCTGCATATACATACTCTTCAGTCATGTTTCTTCATCCATTACTTTGTCACTGCTTGAGGTATCAAAGCATTTCTTTTGTTTTTCTTTTTGTTAGTCGCTACATTTATGCTGATCCTCTCCATTGCAACATGACATACCTGTTTATCAGGTTGTTGAAGGATGATTTAAAAGAGTATACATATGCAGCACGCCTCTCAGGTTTGATCTATGGCATTGCATCAGGAATGAATGCAATACTTGTAAGTAAGAAAAAAACGCAGGAGGAAATGAGACAGTTTGGGAGTTGTTGAGCTTGGAGAGAACATTTGACTTCTGCATTTCTAAAAATCTTTTTTTCCTTGCATCTATCTCATGAATTAAAGGCAAAGCAAATCAATGTACTGTAATGAATAGTGAATGACTTGTTTAAGACTGCAGTGTCTTGTGAACATGTGTGCTGTGCAACTGTCGCGTTGTAATTCACATTGTTACCTGCTTGCATGGTAATCTTGGAAGTAATGTTGTTGATTTCTATATAAAACAGATCAACTTTTCTGTTGAATGAAACTTGACTTTACAGGTTTTGTTATAATTCTCTGATTCTGCTGTAGTGAGCTGCAAATGGCTTGTGCATGTGTTCCTTAGAATGCAACGCTGGATATTTATGGCTTTCCTTAGTAATTGTTTTTGTTATGTGTTTTAAAGTGCTGACAATATTTACTTGATAAATATTTATATTATGCTAAATAGTTATTTCTTATTTAGGCTCTTCTATGAGACTTATGAAAGGAGATTTTAATGATCTCTCCTGACATTCTGCTAAAAGCTTTTGTTAACCATTATTTTATAGCAAAAATTTCCTGTTTTGAAATTTCCTGTAAGAGTATTATTTTTAAGATAATCATAGTAGGAGACTGTGCTGCACATTGACTCTGTATTTTTTGGATGAAAAGGAGTATTGGCTTTTTATCCTTGCTTTTTTTATTCTCCAAGAAAAATCTAATATTGCATTTCCTGATAGCATCCATTTACTGAAAACATGGCTGTCTATTTTCAGTCTCAAAGCTTGCTGACATTTCCAAGGTCAGAATTAATTCAAAAAAACAGGAAAAAAAAGTTCATCTTGTCCATTTTTAGTCACAGTTTAGCGTTATTAACTGTTTTTGTAGGGACTGTTCTTGTACCATAAAGATTCTATTTTCAAATAATAAAATCAGTTTACTCCATACTGATATCTGGAAATTTCTAAACATCTTTTCTATAGTGTGAGATGTATTACAGTCAGTAGGTGTAACCGTATAGTGTTGATATCTTAAGCAAAGATAGATGCTACACTAAAAACAATCACCCACACTTTTATAACAATGTTTGTGTTCTCACACTAATTTAGGATATTGGCCTTTGTCATAAATGCATTTATGATACTTTTTTCTTCAAAATCACAATTTAGATATAATTATGTTTCAGTAACTCTAGAGGAAAAAATCCTTTGTACTGGAAAGCAGGAATTCACTTGTATGGGGTTTTCATTCCTAAAATATCATTAATATATTATACTGAGGGATCCATTTGAATTCCTGCTTCCACATATCAAATTTTGAAGTCATTTTCCCTTAAAAATCCTCCTAATACCTACCCCCACCGCTAGACAAACTTTCTATAGCTTGATGGAATCATGTAGTCATTCTTAGTTTTTTTGTGTGTGGCCTATTTCATGTATACCTTCCAAAAGCTTTGCAAGATCAGATTGACGTATTGTAGGCCAAGTTGCTGTTTTCTCAGCCCAGCACCATCCTTAATATAAATGGTGCAGTTATTGACAGTACCCCACTTCTCGTAATATTGCTTACTTCCACTTCTGTGAATTATATTTAAGAATAAAAAGATAAACATGAAATAGAGCTAAAAGTAAGCTGGAGGAAATATTTAAGACGGCAGTCAGTCTCATTCTCATTACTAAAATGAGAAACCTAAAGTAAAACCATTTCATTGCTCTGAACATACAGTTTACTGACTGCACCCAAACTTGTAAGTAATAAAATCTATATTCAGAGTATAGCTTGGTTACATCAAAGTGAATTTATATTAATTCTCTGAATTCATAAGTCCTGGGCAAATGTGCAATATTATATTCATCATTTAGTTACCATCTTTTGATGGGTAAAGTGATTTTGCTTTAGAACGAATTAGTTTTTAATAGTCTTGAATTTAGAGTAGGTGTTGAAAAGTTTATTGTTCTTTGAATTATGTGAGACATGGTAATTGTTGTATTCTTTTTTTACCTTCCACATTTCAAACAATTTATGCACTTTTTCCGTAGCTTTCTGTAAAAGGTTATAATGACAAGCAACATATCTTGCTCAAGAAGATCATTGAGAAAATGGCTACTTTTGAGATTGATGAAAAAAGATTTGAAATTATCAAGGAAGCGGTAAGCTACCTGAGGAGTTTTGAATGCATTGACTTGAAGTGAAATCTGAGGGCTAATTATCCCTAGACGTACAAAATGAAGCTCTGGCTGACTCGGTCTGTGGAAGCTTTTTTCTTTTGTCTTTTTTGTGGCCACAAGTTCCCCGGAATATCTATATTACATTTTTTGGTTTAAAAAAAAAAAAAAAAAAAACTGGCTCTGGGGTCTTCTATTAGTCAATTTTTATTATGATTCACTAAGGGATTGCAAATTGCTGTGATAGGAGTAGAAATGTAAGAAGGCAGAAAAAGAATCTAAACTGTCCTAGTGTATGATTTGGAAAGGCCCCAAGTGATCTAGGCATAAAAGAAAGGGAAGATGAGAGAAGGGGTGAGGAGGTGTTGAGAAGAGTTAATGCATTTCTTCTTCTCCCCAGATGTGAAAGAGCTCTCCTCCCAGGCTACGATTCTTTTCTGCAAAAATATAGCTAGTTTGCAAAGTACATGCTGACTTCCGGCAGTTGGTCTTCTAAAATTTTATTTCATAAATATGCATAGGTCATTATATATAGGAAGTCGATTTAGCTCATGAAGTAAATTTATGACACTGATTATGTTTGCTAAGCCAGACAAGACATGTAATTACTTGGTCTTCAGCTGTTTTCCCGAGAAGAAGATAGAATTAAAATAAAGGAAATAACTTTTTACAGAATATAGCAATTAGATGTTGAACTCAGTGCTGCGAGTTGTTGTGGAGATATAAATGATTTCAGAAAACTGATTAGACAGATGTTGGGGGACAAGCTTGTTTTTGGCCCAGAAAGTTTGTACATAGTCTGCAGTAGATGAGAGAGCTGTGATTTTTGGGGAAGATCACTCCGTACTTGCTATAGTCTTAACCGTAATCCTCTGCTACTGATGACTGTTAAACAGACGACTGGGCTGGACGAACACCAGGGCCATCTTTAGTTCGTTACTATGTAATAAGAAATTTTAAGTAGATGGACATCAAACATGAGGCAGATTTATTACAACAGCACTTCAAACAGGATTCTGTGTATCTCTGGTATGTTAAGGGTCTGGAAAGTTTAACGGGATGTGACAAAAAATCCACAGGTCTGTGAATAATCTGATGTATGTGGTTCTCTCTTAGTTTCTGATGCTTCCCTATTCATCTTTACGGCTTACTTGAGTTCTGTCTCTGTACTATGCATGCTTTGTCATTTTATAGAATTCTATTACATAGAACTTTTTGGTATTTTGTCCTTATTTTGCATACCCTAAAGTCAAATCAGACGGGGAGATTGCAATTTTCTGCCTCATGTTTACATCTACAGATTAGGGAGGTATCAGCTTCTTTCTTCTGTTTGGAACAGGTAGAAGAAGGATGCATCCTCAGCAACTTCATGCTCTTTCTCACCCACATCCCCTGAAATAAGTCACCTTTCTCCAGTAGTGTAAATGATGTGCTTATTTGTGTCTCTGTAGACCCAGGAGCTCCCAGCTTGCCAAAGTGATTAGTTTGCATTTGTTAGAGGAAAGAGTTTTTTTCTTATCTTGCGAAGGTGTGAAAAGGACTAGAGAGGAGTCTCTGTAGAGCCGCTCACTGCTTCTTCTCTCGCACCTCCTTTATCTAGGCTAAGAATGCAAAGAATTTCCCAGTTGCTCCTGTACTTTTCTAGTCGTTTCAGCCTTGGGAACTGGGAGAAAAATACATTTCTTATTAGCCCCTTTTTCCCCTTGCAGTCACTATAGAGTGCCTACTTCTCGATGAAAGCAGCTTAATCTAAATACTTACTTAGGATCTATCTGCTGTAGTTTAAATTTCATTCATTAATTCTACGTTTGCTTTTAAGTATGGTTTCATTCTCATTTAAACTATCTTAAAGGCTACTGCTTAATCCATTGCCTCACAGGCCCACGTTAATACTAAGATGATTTAACAAAATTGTTGAACAGATTTAACAGGCAGGAGAATGTTGTTGACTTTTGAAATGTATGTTTTTGGTGGTACACGGAGGACAGGGTTACTGTACAAGAGTACAGGGTTACCATTTTATGCTTAGAAATTGAGTTCTGTAATTTGAACTTAATTGTTTTAACTTTTGTTTTAGTACATGAGATCACTTAACAACTTCAGGGCAGAGCAGCCTCATCAGCATGCAATGTATTATCTCCGACTCCTGATGACAGAAGTTGCTTGGACCAAAGATGAGTTAAAAGAAGCTCTAGATGGTAATGTTCTGCCAGTTTTAAACTTTATTCTTTCTGGTTTTCTCTTCTCTTTTTTTTTTTTAATGGAGCATGTCTTATTGCCGAACTGAGGGTGCCTATTTTGAACTCAACCTATTATTTAAAGTGAGTGCCTGCAGTGCCAGACCTGAGCTAATGCTCTTAGGAGATGATGCCTCTATACCTGTCCTCCAGTTTCTAGAAAGCTTATTAGTTGCGACAAAGGGCTGTACAAAGGTATGGGCTCAGGAACTGGCTTTGTGGTCATGAGCTTGGGTATGGTGAATCCAGTGCTTAACAGACATTACTAAATTCGTTTGGACTCTCCCTGACATCTTGCAGATACACTGGAGTATACTTTCCAATGTCTGTACCTTTTTTTTTTTTTTTTTAATAACCCAGGGATCCTAACACGCGTTTAATAATAAAAAAACTTGACTGTAGTCCTTAACAAAGAGCAGGCCCCTTGCTATATTTGGGAGGAAGAAGAAATGTCAAATTAAGAGATTTAATCAATTTTAGTAATAGCTAAAGAACTCTTCCCTATGTGTATCTTACTGTGTTATGACAAAAGACTATTATCAAGACATATCCCAAAATTGGGATAATTTGCAAAATATCTTGTAATATCTCTTGGGAATATACCGAGACGTTCTTTTCCAGAATAATGTCTTGCTTTTGTTTTTGTTTGGGTGGAAGAGGGGTGGATTCAGAACGCATACCCCTAGTGGTCAAGGGCTAGCCTTGTACCCAGTTGTTTGAAGTTGTGATGCTGAAATAAAACTGCTGCATTCAGACAGACTCAGCAGATGCCCTGAGAGGGCTGCACATAGATGTGTGATTTCCCCTCCCCCCCCCATAAAATTGCTCCAGGATAGAAATATAAATGTTTAATTATGTAGACTCTTGAAAGATTGCAGGTATCCCTGAGACTAGCGGTGGTGCCAGTGCTGCCCGTGAAGTCAGTGATGAAACTGATGCTGATTTTCATGGCAGTGGGCTCAGCTATATTTCGATCATTTCTTTTTTAATGACTACAGAATTTGGAAAAAATAACAGATGTTCTGTTCCTTTTGTAAGTCTTCTTTTTAAGATTAATGCTATTGTATTCAGCATAATGGTTAAAAATTGAATGTTTTAGGGTTGTAAGTCTCCTTGGTATTGCTGGAAATCTGCTTGAAATACAGAGAAATTATGCATGGGTTTTTTTCGTCCTTTCATGCTCTCTCATGTTCAAAACAATTGTAATCTTTTGCACTATCAACAAGCAGTTCTAGAGGCAGAACTAAGATTATGATTACACAACAATAAAAGGACTGTTCCATTTTGTGTTGGAAATGCAAATTTAAGATAAAAGTAGCAAGAAAAGTGAAAGTAGTTGATTTGGAATCAGGAAAGAAGAAAGAAGTGCAAATAGTGTTTTTATTGGTGATCAATTACCTCTTTTAAGAAGGGAAAGCAAGATAAGCATTGGGTAGCTTTTCCTAAGAGAAGTCACTACTCTGTGTTAGATGTGTATGCATCCCCCACTGAATAACTGTGTGGCCTCGTTATCTTGAATGCATTTGTCTTCTGAAAACTTCTTTGAAGTACAGAAGTGCTGTAGCTTTTATAGTAGTCGAGAAAAGGACTAATGAAGAAATTAATGGATTTGGTCAAGTAGTGCAGGGAGTCTTGCAGAGTCAGGGAATTAAGAGTGGATCTGTTGACGTCAGTAAGAGCACCCCATCCACTCTGCAACCTCCCTCTCTTCTTCTGTTAATTCTGTGTGTTAAACTGTATTTGCTTTACATATGAAAACTGCCTTACAAAGGTGCTAGCATAGAGCATGTGTGTGTATATGGCCTAGTATATATTTTAAAATAAATATTTCTTATATATAGCGTGTTGCAAAGATGCTATCAAAACACCGTATTTGGGATGAGATTTTTGTTAGTCTAGCTGGTAAATGCACTGTGTTTCTCAAGCATTAAAAATTACGTGTTTAGTTAATGGCTAAAGCTTTATCTTGGAACACCACCTGACTGACTGTAACTGTTTTCTCTGGAGAGGGAGCTTGTGTTCAGCATGACTGGAGAGAAGGCTTTTTTTTTCTTCTTCTTTTTGGAATCTGGGTCAGACGATATGTGAATTCTAAGTGAAGCAAACTATACGATGAGCGCTGCTATTTAGACCTGGAAACTTTCCAATGCTGTGTTTTTAAGAAGAGATCCACTTTTTTATGATAATGAGTTTCTGTTTCTCTAAGAAATATACTATATCTAATGATAAGTTAGATACTTCTTAATGTAAAAATACATGTAATTGATTTAACTGTCTAAATATCTATTCTAGATGTCACTCTTCCCCGCCTCAAGGCCTTTATAGCTCAGCTGTTGTCACGGTTACACATTGAAGCTCTTCTCCATGGCAATATAACAAAACAGGTTGGTATGATACTTCTTTAATGAAACAATTTTTATTTAAAAGCAGCATTAGAAATGGAGGGCTGGTTTAGTCTTTCCAGATCTTAAAACAGTTTCACCAAATGTGATTTCATAATTTGACTTCTTTATGGGCGTATCATAGTGTCATTTTTTCCACCCTAAATTTCTTAGGCTAAGTGCTGCCCCTGTATTGCTCTTGGAGATTTAATAGAAAACAGCTTATGATCTTTAAAATATTAAGTCTATCTTGCCTCTCGTTACTGTAATGTGATCAAGCTGCATAGGGAACGACGTGCTGCAGATTCTGCTTTTCCATTTACAAGTTTCAGGCTAACTAACAAAGACTTAGGAAGCCAGAATCCTGCCAAGTGCTTTATGCATAGCTAGAGAGGAATGGTGATCCATAAAAAATGAATTTCAGCTCTCAGTTCTGTCTTTTGGGGAGTAAAAATGAGAAAATCTTTGTTCTGTCTTGCATTAAAATAGTAATGGTTTGGACTAACGTAGGAAATTTAACCAAAGATCTGACTATATGTACAAATACAAAGTGTAATATCTTTCTTGTAGTAAAAATGAGAACATTTCTGCATTCTTTCTAGTAAGGCTGGTATAGCAGTGTGTGTGTGTATATATATGTGTGTGTGTGTGTGTGCAAATTATGTATGTAAACGTAGAAATATATACATTTGCATACTTATGTAAAGAATACATAAAGGTATTCTTTAGCCGCCATAATTGGTGCCTACTCAATGGTTGAAAGTCCTATGGGTAGAGAATTGGGAAGAATTGATTGTTATACCTGTAACTATGTGATAATTAGAAGTGATCTGCAATCTTCCCCTGAATAGATGCGAGTAGGAAAAATTACTTCTCCTTCATCGCCCATGTTGAGACCATCAAGTTCATGGCTGTGCTGCACTGACCACCTCTTTTTTCAAAACAAAACAACCCAGAAATTTTAACCTGGATCTGAGAAATGTTTCCGTCTAAAAATTAAGCAAAATTGACATATTCTGGTGACAAGTTTTGGTACTGAAAAAGATTTCAGTGAATTTATACCTTCTAAAAAATTACACGCGTCTAGCTGCTTAAAATTGTCCTGCTTCTTCTTGATTTCGTTCTGATGTAGGTTTTTTGACTGTTCCTCACATTCATTTGCTACAAGCGGGTGAATAGTATATTAATTATGTTCAAACTCTCACCCTCTCATTGTAAATATTCTGTTGTAATTTAGTGCACTGGTTGCCAGAACGCATAGTATTTTCCTCTACCCTTCCCAACTGTTTTATTAGATCTTGCTCTTTGTCTTTTTTTTGTTTGTTTTGTTTGTTTTGTAAGTTTCCCAGCATATTTTTATGAGATCACTTTTATGTTGTAAGTTTATATGGCAACAAAGTCTAAGAGATTTTGCTATTCAGTATATTTTCCAGTGTTTTAAAATATTCATTTCTTATTTAGTGTAAAGGGGGGTTGTTTGTTGTTGTTGGGGTTTTTTTTTGTAGAATGAAATAACGATTTTAAGGGGATTTACAGAGAAATCTGCATTTTTCTTAAAAATTCTACATCTCACAAAAATCGCTTTTTCTTTTTAAACAAAGTATGGGCCATTGCACATGCACTACTTCAGCTAGAGCAAGTGATTTCCTGAAAAGAGTAGTAACTGTAGAGCTGCGTAAAATCAATACTGAATTGTACATTTGTTCAAGAAAAGGAAAAAAAAAAAAGTATATTTAAGGCATTAAAGAAAGAAACTTCAAATAATGATTAAGGATTCATTAAAATATTAGGGTATAATGTAGAATATTAAACAAAATAAGAATTATGAACTCTGTCTGTGGGTATAGTCCTACAATGTAACTTGGGTAAAATTCCGAACTGGATTTGTGAATTCCATCGCATTGAATTTGTGATCAGATTCAGGTGCTTACTGTGAGTTTCAAAAATGGGTAAGATGTGTATGGGACTAATGCTGTTGTACCTTGCTCATTAATGCATGGGTTAGTAGTTCTGAGTTATCTACATTAGACTTGTTCACAAATGTATTTCTATAGGATTAATTAGAATGATGTATATGGCCTTTAGGGTAGGTATGTTATGGGTAAGCTGTCTAATATCCTGCCGTGCATTATGTTTTGCCTCCTGGTCATGTGCTGATCTTGTTCCATTCTGGTAGTAATTATTGACAATTCCTGCAGTGGACCAGATCTCTGTTGCTGACATCAGCCAGTCTTTAGGGCTCTGAGGCTGCCAGTTGTGTTTGAGCATCGCAAGATCCTCATGCCGGTTTGCCTTTCCGGCTCATGTCCACAAGCAGCAGCAGCATGGGTTGGAGTGTGGCAACAGCCCTGCGAATGGGGCTGCAGGTGCAAGCATGGTTTGTGAATCAGAAGCCCTGTCTCTTGCTCAGCATAGCAAAAAAATGAGAATTAGGTTACCAGTGGACCTGTAGGTGCAACTGGCAGTATTGTATGTGCAGCTGGCTGCACTGTTAGACATTCTCTGTGATGAAGAGGAGAAAGAAGTGCTGGCTTCTTTTCCATACAGGGTCAGTCTTTGAGAAGAGTAATGACTGTCCGCAGAAGGTTGCTCTGCCTATGCAAGAGGATCAGCTATAAAGAGACAACTTCAAAATGAAGAAGGTAGCATTCATGCAAATCTGTGCTGAGCTTCACTGACGAGGAAGAACACTAATTGAAGGGTGACATTCAGCATTGAAAAAGGGTTGCCATGGTCACTGGGAGGTTGGCAACCTCTGACTGTCACTGATTTTAGGTTTGGAAAGGTGACAACGAGCAAGTGCCATCTGCCACTCAGAAGGTTCTTTTCTTGTGGTCCCCAAGGGTAAGGGATGCAGGGGTCAAAGCAGGCTTCACTTGCATGGGCTTCCCAAGTGCTGTTGGGGCCACTGATAGGAGGCATCTTTTTATCTCTTTTTATCCCTCATCAGTAGAAGGGGCTTCATTATGCTAATGTCTGCTCTTGACCACCAAGGATGTTTTACTTATGTAGCCAAATGTATGATGCCTGTTTTTTGTTTTTCTTTCTTTTTTTTTTCCTCAGCAACTTGTGCATGGCAAAGTCATGCAAGCAGAGCAATACATTATCTTGCTGAGCCTGCTGAGATCAAAAGAGTTGCCTTAATGCTCTTGCTCCTTCATGAATTCGCCTGTATTCTCATCCCATAGCTTATGAAATCACTCACCAGCAGTTTCCATTATAAAGACTTTTCTAGTTCCTGCTGCAGTAGCAGTTGAATGGCAATGAAGTGTGTGTTTGGTGCTTGATAAGGAATATGAAGGCCCCTCTGTCAGGAGTCTCTTTACCAGCTGTGGACTATAATACGTGAGAGGGAAAATGCAAAAGTTTGTAGCAGCAAATCTTTGAAAACAATAGGTCATCATTACTTTTGTTTCTTGATTCTGGACTCTTTCTGCAACTTGCTGCTGCAGCTTGTTTTAACTCAGCAGGTACTTGAAAGTATGAGCTGGGTACCAGAGCTGGGTTCTGTGAGGCCTAGAGTTCAAGCAGGAGCTTTGCCATGACCTTGTGCTTCCTGCAGTGTGCTGGAAGCCCACCAGAGAGCGTTCTTGAGCAACTTTGGAGCCTATAAGCAGTTTCCTTTGATAAGCAAGGGAGCCCAAGAGTGGAAAATGGGCTGGAAAGGCCTGGGCATGGTGGGGGTCAGGAAGTTGTGGCTGATGTAGATTGATAACTCCTGTTAACTTGCTCACCACCTGCAGTAGTTTCTGCCCCTTACTCATTTCCTTTTACTAGAAGTAGGCATCTCTCACTTGCAGCAAAGCATCCAATAATGCCTCAGTCTGCTCCAGTCTTGGCTTGGCTTGCACCATGTGTATGAAGACTTGTATGTTTGCTGAACATTTCATTGCAGCACCCTCCCTCTTCCTGCTCCGGCATGTGTTTGCCATTCTTTGAGGTATAAGATGTGGCTGTGCGGTCTGGCAGCACCCACAAGTACTCGGTGTCCTTTCAGTAGGGAAAATGGGTGTTTCATTTTTTTACTCTCCTTATGCAAATAAAGTACCTTTCTTCCCTTTTATTTTAATGGTTCGTCTCTGTCCCCTCTACAGACTTCCGTTGGTGAGGACGGATTCTGGCCTCCTGCTCAGGGAACAGGAGCTCTCTGCCTTAGGAAAAGATTGAGCCTGCACTGATTCGTGTGCCTGGGAAATAAGGACTTAAAATGTGTCTAAACGGGGGTAGGCTTAGCTGATGACTGCAAGTTGCCTGTGTAAGCCCTATAGTAAGTGAGCTCTGGATAGGGAGGGGTTGTCTCTGACGTGATCTTGGGGGCAAAAACAGATTCTCTTTTTGGAAAGAAAGAGTGGTTGGAAGGGGAGAAGAAATATTCCTTGACACTGATAGATAACGTCACTAATCTGTGTCCCTTGCTGTCAGCAAAGATGACCCTTTGCCCAAGCGAAGGTGAGATGGAGTCAAATGTGCCTTCATAGTAACAGTGAGGGAACGCTAGGTTAAACTCAAGGTCAGTTGTATAAATCTGTGATGCTGTTGGCTGAGGTTTGAGTTATGGTGGCTGATCGCAAGTTTGGTGGAAAGAACATGTCTAGATTCATTTTTCTGCATGAGATTGTAATAAGAAATCAGAACTTTAAAGCCCCTGCAGCTCTCAGGCTTGGCTGTGCTAATCCCAGGAGGCCTGCAACAGGACAAAGGGTGCCTAATGTTACCCTGAGGATGTGGAGGGTGGATGATACAGCTGGGTGCCTGCATGGTTGTTACTGTGACGAGTGGGCAGAACCGGCCAGGCAAAGCAGTGGCACAGTGACGAGGCGTGCCTGGTGGGGCTGCACCTTCTTTTCGGACAGCGTGGTTCAGGGTTTGCAGATGATAAAACGTTATAGGTATGACTTGTCTACACTTCAAGCTTACTCACATGTAAATGAGCACATTTTATTGGGGGTTCTTAATTCCCGAGGCAGAAATTATGGATGAAAAAGAATGAATTCTGAAAATACTTGAAGTATTTTTCTGTTCCAGTCTCTCTTTAGTATTTTGCATGAGTAAAGTCTGGCAGTTTCAGTAAGAATTAAAATTTTACTCAAATATTTTAAAAATATGGACAGATTACTTGTTTATTTAATTACCTGTTTAAATCCTTTGCAAATTTGGGATCTGGAATCTTCATTCTTCAGTATCAGTTTGTACCAAACACATTGTGAATAAGAAGAAGAATTTGAGCAGACTGAGACCTCACCTTTGGTTCCTAGCAAAGCAATATGTTGTTTTTCTGTCTTTGTTTACCCAAAGTGTTCTTATTTACTTATAAAATTTATGCGTGTCCTATCTTTGGAGAAGAAACCAAAATATTTAGAATTTCAGTATGATACTTAAGGCCATGAAATATTCTTTTTGCATTTGTTCTCATTGCATCTTGTGAGGTTGACACCATTACACTATTTTGAAAGCTTTCTGTAATAAACTATAGGCAACAGCCTATTTAAAAAAATAAAGTAATTAAATTTTACTTTTTTGGACATGACTTCTTTAAGGTCCCTGGTAGCTAGGCAGATCTGTTTTTCCTAGTTCGTTAACAGCAGGTGCAGAGAAGAAAAAAGGAAAAAAAAAAATTTTTTTTTAATCCATTAAATAAAATACCTGGCCAGTGAGTCCTAAAACTACCAGCACATCAATAGAATACATATATAAACTTAACTCTAACTTTGTTTTCTTACAATTCCACCTGATATGTCATTTGTTTTATAAACATACATTGTAGGTTTCTAGATTTCAAATTTTGGTGCATGAGTACATCAAAGTGGTGAAGGGGAAAAAAAGAAGCCCACTGAACATCAATCCCAGAAGTTTTGGGGAAGAGGGAAAGTAGTGTATCATGTAATGAAAGTAAATTAAAAAAAAAAAAAAACTTCCTCCCATCTATTGGTTTTTAACTTCTGTTGTGTTTTTATTAAATTACAATATCCTTTCGTTCTATTTGATTTTTTTTGCATTTTAGGTTTTTTTCCCTTTCACATCACTGTCAATAATTAGAAAGTTTAGGCTTGTTGGTAGATACAAAATAACTGATGATCTTTAAAAATCCTCTCATATTTTCTCTTCCAGGCTGCATTAGGAATTATGCAGATGGTTGAGGACACTCTCATTGAGCACGCTCATACAAAGCCACTTCTTCCCAGTCAGCTAGTGAGATACAGAGAGGTACAACTTCCTGACAGTAAGTTAAATCATTTATAAATACATTTTAAAAATATACTAAATTGAGGTTCTCTGTTTGCTAATGGCATTTTAAAATGAATGTTATTCTTTTGCTAGGATTTTGTTTGGAAATCAGATTTACTTCAAATTACTTTAAACTATAAATTTAACAATATCATTAGGGTATGTTTTTGCTATGTTAATAAAATAATGCATGAGTATAGAATCTTTTTGGTATACTTGAAAATGAATTCAATTTTATTTTTAATCTATGTATGTAAGTTGGATCTCAGTCCTAATTCACTCTGTATGTACACATACTATACACTTTTGAATGAGTGTTGTTCTTTAAGAGCAGATTTCAGAATTAATTGAGCCTTCAGTGAAGGGTTATCCAAAACAACTTGTTTATTGTGTAAAATACAGAGCTATTACCCAAATAACTTCAATGTTTGTGATACCAGTTTTTTGGTCTCATTGTGTTTTTATATCATTTTACTTCTATCGTGCAAAATTGTTATATTTAAAGAATGAGGCACGAGGAATCCATGGGAGTTGCATAGGAATAGTGACACGTGTAGCTGTACAGCCAAAATCAATTACCCTTTGAGGATCATTAGCCTGTGGAAACTACTGTATACCAAAGAAGCTATTGATATGAAATGCTGAATTGTTGTTAATATTCATAAGCATTTCTGACAAATTATCTTAAAAACTATTTGCACGGTAGAGGCAATGCAGAATTCCACTCCAGTTGCAAAAATACTTACGTGAAGAGAATCAGCCAATTTAGACTTCATATCCAGTGAGTGCAAATGCTTGAGTTCATTTTACCTGAGAAGGGGTATCTGGCATGATTTTTGTGAGGACCCTTTTGTTTGTAATTCACTTCTCCTATGCGCAATCTATGATGTTTTGACATGCTAAAATAATCTTTTCTTTGTTTCATGAAAAGCCTGCTTGATCTGTTAGAGGAAATTGTGCTTTAAGGGTCCTAGGCCATTTATTATAACTCCATTCCACCTATGATAGACTATTATCTTTCTAACACTGGATAATGAGTATGGTTTTTTTTTTTTTTTTTAACTTAAGCTGCTTGAACTTTATTTTTTAGGAGGTTGGTTTGTCTATCAACAGAGAAATGAAGTTCATAACAATTGTGGAATTGAAATATATTACCAGACAGACATGCAGAGCACCTCTGAGAATATGTTTTTGGAGCTCTTTTGTCAAATTATCTCAGAACCATGCTTCAATACTCTGCGCACCAAGGAACAATTAGGTAAGTTTTCCCAGATTTGGTGGTTACTGTATGTGTGTGTACACGAGTGCTCATGCACTTATATGGGTAGACACGATGAGGTATTCTTTCCCTGCTTAGTGAATGCCACTTAAAGGACACTTGGTAAACACAAATTACTTTAGCTGCTGATGACTCAAAAGAATATTACTGTTCGCATATGGTAAATTGAGAAGAAGCAAGCATAATTTTTAACATCATATGTGAAGTATCTGAAATCAGCTCTAGTTTAAAAAAAATTGATCACTGTGCAGAAAAGTTCATATCTGCAGTTGTAAAAAATGGAGATTAGGTCAGTTTCCTAAATTTTAGGAAATCTTCTTAAAGAATCAGTCACAGTCTTCTCTGCTCTTAGTTGTACTTTCAGCTGCACTAGAAAGACGGTTGCCTTGTAAATCAAGATCATGTATACCCTAATATCCAGGAGTCCTGTTTAAATTCTCAGTATGATAACTAAAAGGAAAAAGACCGTGGGTACCATTATGGTGTTATGAACTACCAGAAAACCAGGCAGATTAGTCTTTTTGTGAGCGACAAGCAGAGTGAGCCACACCGTGTTGATCATAGGGATTTTAACTATCTAGATATCGGTTGAAAATAGGGCAGGACACAGGTTATTTAGCAGGCTTTTGGAATGTGTTGATGGCAGGTTTCTTATAGAAGCTGGACATAGCAACTAAAGCAGGGGAGAGAGGGAGACACCAGTGAGGAAGAACTGTGTTGAGTGTACGAATATGGACCAGCATGGTATGACTGCCAAATGGTAGAGTTCACAGCTCTCAAGAGAGAAGACAAGCAGTAATACAAGCAGCCTTCAATAAACTCCATGGAATTGTTATTAAGATCTCTGAGAAAGCTAAAGAAAAAAGGAGTTCAAGAGTTAGCAGTCTATTAAACAGTAGAGGAAGTAACAAGGCCTCAATAAATACTTTAGCAGTAAGAGAAAGACCAACGAAAGTAAAAGTTGTCAATGATGTGAAAAGGTCAAAATGTTTCAGGACGGTTTCGTTAATTTTCACTTAAAATGTCAACAGTGATGAGGTGGTTTCCGAAATAAATACCAGTGATCAAAGTCCAGGGGCTCACCTTTGAATAGGAAAAGAACAGATTAAAAATTATTCAGGTAGGTTAAAAGATTTTAAATAGTTCAGGCACGATGAACTCTATATTTAAAAAAAACAAAATGATGAAATCCTGAAACCAAAACTGTTAAAACTGAGAATTTGCAGAGGATAGGTGAGGTACTGAAAGGCTAAAGAAGATTAAGCGCTGTACTTATCCTTAAGAAAGGAAAGAGAGAAAGAGTAGGGAACTTTCAGATCAGTCAGCTTAATTCTGATTCCTGGAAAAATGTGGAATTATCAAAATTACCAATTCAAAATACATAGGAGATAACTGAGAAATGGTTTCTGGACAAAACAGGACAAACTAACTTCTTTTTTTTTTTTTTTTTTTTTGGTTACACAGAGTTTGGCTGTATGGGTGGAAGTGGTGATGTCATATGTCTAGTTTTTCATAGCATGACAGTCGCATAATGTTCTCAGACAAGCTAGAGGAAGATAGTCCAGATCAAACTACTGCATGTTTAGATAAAAGGCTGGCTGGAAAGTTACGACTGGAGAGTTGTTAAGAATAGTTTATTAGAAAAATGATGTTGTACAGAGTTGTATTGTGGTCCAATACTATTTAGTATTTTCATAAAAAATCTGGATGATGAAAATGAATATACTTGCTAAATCCTCAGATAATATTAAGCTAGGAGAGACGGCAAGTGTGTGGGAAGACAGAATTAGAATTCAAAATTAGTTTGACATTTTGGAGACACGACTTGAAGAAAAGATGCTGTTCGATAGGAACAATTTTGCAGGAATAATCAACTGCACAGACACAAGTTGAGCAAGTGGCTAGATAGCACTTATGTTGAAAACAATCTATAGGGTACAGTGGATCGGATGTAGAACATGAATTAACAGTGTCGTGCTGCCGTGGAAAAAGGTGGACTGGGATGTATAAAATGGAGCTTCCAAAGATGTACAAAATAGTATTTCTGTGCTATTCAGGTAAGGCTTTTGAACACAAGAGCATCAAGGAATGATCAGAGCACTGTAAAACTTCATTTAAAAGACTGAAGTGTGGTAGTTTTGTTTTTAAAGGGGGAAAGAAGATTGAAGACAGGCTCAGGTATTCATATGTGCAAAAGTTGCAGCAAAAAGGAAGAATACTGTCTTTAGTTGATAAAATGAGAAATAGTGGTCTTATATTACAGCAAAGAGATTTCAGATTAAACATGGAAAATAACAGTAAGTTGCACATGATGTTGAGGGTAGTGAAGCACTTAGAACATAGCCTAATTTTTGGTTGTCTAATACTGATGACAGACTTCCTCTTGTTCTTTTTTCAGCCTGCCTTATCCCCTCCTCACTCCTCCCCTGAACTGATAATTTACTTCAAAGAAGTGGAGGAAAGCAGTTTTTTTTTAAATTAAGCAGTGTATTTTGAAACACTGCATTATTTCATTCATAATACAGAATTATATCTGTTATAAGGTTGCATTCCTATCAGACATGCTGTGCTAGGCAAACTCGATGCTGAAACAGGTTTTTAAGTTTGTTTGTTTTTTCTTTTTCCTTAATCGGTGACTATTTTGTTTTACCAAGGTTACATTGTGTTCAGTGGTCCACGTCGGGCAAATGGCATACAAGGACTGCGATTTATTATCCAATCTGAAAAGCCACCACACTATTTAGAAAGCAGGGTTGAAGCATTCTTAAAAACTATGGAAAAGTGCATAGAAGATATGACAGAAGAGGCCTTCCAAAAACACATCCAAGCTTTAGCAATTCGTCGTCTAGACAAACCAAAGAAGCTATCTGCAGAATGTGCTAAATACTGGGGGGAAATAATTTCCCAGCAGTATAACTTTGACAGAGGTAAGAAAAATTATAGTGGTTTTAAAGATGAAATATAAAATTGCAAAGTCAAGTGATAAAGTATGCTGACTCCTTTTTGACATAAATGTTTATTTAAAATTTAACAACTAAAATTTTGTGCATTTTGCTAAATCGCTCATTGCTGAAAATTGCACAAAAATATTTCCAAGATTATTTCTAGAGCACAGTGCATAATATGAAAGTTGATAGGAGGGGAAAAAAAAAACCCAGCATCTGATTTTTGTTTTAAAGAAGAATAATAGTGATATTTAAGCTATATTTCTGTTAACTTCAGTCAGGGTTGGATTTCAGGCAGTATGTTATAAACTACATATAGGCAATGCTTAAAATATTTTGCAATTCAGAGGCAGTTGTATTTTACAAAGCAGAGGCAGTAAGGAATGCCCCTGCTAAAAAAGGGGCTAAACAGTGGCTGATATGCTTAAAAATTGTTCAGTTTTCATAGTGAACATGTCACTGTAGATTGAGATGGGCAAGTGTTTTGAAGTTCTGCAACTGTTCTCGACTCTGAAACGAGGAATGCTGAATGCAGCAGTCAGACTACGTTTGGGGCGCCGGTGACTGTGAGCACAGTCATCGGGAACAGCTTTTACTTGGCCTGTTTCATGTGCTGTTTGTGATTTGTGTTCTCATAGCTCCTGCCCTGAGAAATTACCTCATTTGTGGCGCCTGTGCTCACTGTGTTGTAGGGGCCATTAGTGATAGAGGATAAAGCTGTTCCCTGGCGCTTCGTCTATCGTAGTGGGTAGCGGATGCTTCGTTGACCCTCTGTTCTCTCTCTTAAGGCTCAGTGAGACATCGAGTAGGTCAAGGATTGGAAATGGTTTGGATATAAGTGGCTTTTAAGTGGGGATATTGCATAAGCTCAGATTTCTTCCGTGGTGTTTGGACGCCTTATACATGTGCCTAATACCTGGCTGAGACGCGTTTGAATAGCCTTTGTCAATCCCGACGGCGCACCCGGTGATGCAAACCCTGTTCCTCTTCCCGTTGCGCAGTCTGTTGAGGCAGCAGAGGCAACAGCAGGCGCCTTCACTAACGCACGAGCTGTCTCAGCTGAGAGGAGGCCTAGAAGAAACATCAGTTTTTTAAAACCATGATACTTTAAAGGTTATAAGCTCGTAAAGACTAATTAGGATCCAGCTTGTAGAGTTCTTGGTGAAAATGGATTGACAATTTTTTGCACTGATAGCGTGATACTGTGTGATATCTTACATGCCGTTTAACTTGTATTTTCCTCCTTTTCACCAATGTTTGGAGATTTTTTTAGTCCAGAATATTGAGGTGTATAAGAAATATTCTGAGCAAGGTTTTATTTTGTTTTACTAAATAAAACATTTTGAAACAAAACTAAGTTGATTTTTACCACAAAGCTACATTTTTTCCTGAAAGTTAATGAGTAAGACTTTGAAATCTAATTTTTATTTTGTTCACCATTTGCTTTTTTAAAAAGTTTCCCAAAAGAAAGAAAAAAGCAATTTAATACTTTATAAGCGAATTTTAGTTTGTAACACAGAAAAATTCCCATTGCAGTTTTAGGTCTAGCTCATCACTGCCTCACGTTTTCGTGTCACAGCTCTTATTCACAGCTGTAATTTCCAATCTCCCATGCATAATAAGCTTCCTACATAAAATTCACTCTGTATCCCATAACTTCTCTTTTACTTTCCATGCACCGTATTGGCCTTTCACAATAGCAAATGCAGTCTTTTCTGTAGGCAGTGACTAACTGTGAACTGCTTTAAAACGAAGAATTTTGAGTTGGCATGTGGCTTGCTCTCGAGAGAAGGCGAGCTGCTGACGAGAAGATTTCATGCCTGAGCATGAGGGCTGCTGTGGAAGCTCTTACCCCTCAAGTACTTTTTTGTTTCTGATGAAACAGTTTAACTTTTCTCTGCCTTAAGTGTTTCTTTCTTTTTTTTTTTTTTTTTTAATCATACTTGGGTTTATATCTTATCTCTCCAGAATTTCTTGCAGCTAGGGGAAGCCAGATCTTTCTTTTGTAAATCCCATCCAACTTATTGTTTCCCTTGACTTGTACAACTTTAATTCTCATCTACCTACTGGTAATTTCATTCCGTTAGATGATTCTAATGCGTCTAGAATTGTCAAAATCAGAAATTCATATCCTGGCCTTAGGAAGTAAAGGGCAGAATTTGTTTTTGTGTTTTTGCTTTTTTTATTATTATTGTTTGGTTTTTTGTTTTTTTTTTACTTAACATATTTTAAAACCTTCTTACAAACGTCGTCTTCTGTTCCAAATTTTTTGCCAGTTTTTTAATTTCCTTTCTGTAGAACTTCATATGAATTAGTTTCTGCCTGTAAACTCTTGGAGAGGCAAACTTGGCCACAATAAAAACGTTTCCACTTAGGCAAGTCATATTGTATAGTTAGTTTTATTACGATTTAATTTATATAATGTGATGTAGCTACGGAGACACATTGTCCTCAGATACCTTAAAGGTGATTCTTCTTTATCATGTATGCTATAGCCAGTCATGCTTCCTTACATTTAGTATTAAAAACCTTTATGCTGTCTTCCTAACTGTGAAGGAAAGCTATCTGTCATCAGTTTGCATGATAAAGATGTAACATTGATTTGAAGATAATATACAGAAATAGGCATATTTTTTAATCTACTGAATAATATCCAGTACAATCAATGTTCTTCCAACATGTATTTTTTAGTAAGTGCAATCAGATGGCCGTGTTTTGTGTAATTTTTTCCCAAGCTTCCAGTGATGCTTTCAATGATACAAGTAGTAGCTGGTGAGTGAAGAATGAAAAGCATATCATTTGCAGTCAGTTGCAGCATCGGACTTTGGAAGAAAAATGCTTTCAAATAAGTGTGCTAATAACCAGCTATGATTTGCAGACTTGTTTTAATTTTTACTGTTGTTGTACAGATAACATTGAAGTGGCTTATCTGAAGACCCTGACCAAGGATGATATCATACAGTTTTACAAGGTAAGTTAGTCATGTAGCTAAATTATTATTCAGAAAGAGATGTATATGTACTGGGTGTTACTTGTGTGAACTATGAGAGCATATTCTTATCCTTGTTGTAGGTAGGTAATTCGATTGATGCACATACCCTAATAATCATTTTGTTTCCTGAATCTTCCTTAGTTTAATGGGAACTAGTATACTGCAAGAATGGTAGAAAAGGAGTTTTTTTTTTTTTTTCTTACCAGCTGTTGTTCTCTTCTTGTCTGATTTATCTTTTGTTTATGAATAGAAATTATGTTTCTGTATGACTCTGACCCAGTTTGGCCAAGGTCGCAAATTTATTTATTTATTTATTTTTTCTCTGAATCAGTAGATGATTCGGCGTATTTTGTCTGCATGAACTGTGAATGAAAAAGATATTTTTAAAGCTTTCCGTGCTGTAAATCAGTACATTTCTTATTGCTCTTATGTGGAACAAAGGAACAACATAATGATGCAATAAGCATACGCTGCAGCTTAGCATGAAATTATTAGATAGATGTCTAATATGAGCAGCTGAAATATGGAGTGGGGTAGGGAAAGTGGTTCACTAAAAAAAGATAAACTGGCTCTCATTCTTTTTGTTTTGCACCAAATTTCATGTGCGGTGATAAATCAGAATGTTGCAAAGTGTATATGTTTTTTTTACTACTTATGGAGCAGCTAATAGTTCAGGGGAATACTGTGGCAAAATACTGTGGCTGCCTTTGGAACTTACGGAAAAATCTGCCCATGAAGAAGCATGGCAGGGAGGGCGTCTGTAATGCAATGTATGTGTGTATGTATGATATATACACACATATAGTAATGGTGTATATATATACATATAGTCATATGTACATATACATATGTGTACATATATAGTCTTTTGTGTGTGTATGAACGTCTTCAAAATTATTTCTCTTTTGTACTCTTTTGTTTATCCCTTTCACTAGCCAGTTATTTTCATATAACCTTCTGTTTTAGTTTGAGATTTAATCTTCCTGTTAAAACTGGTTACTACTTAAACGGCACAGTGAACACCAATGTTTTTCAGATTATGATAGCATGGGGGGAGATATGCAGCAGATATAATTTTAGTAAATGAAATTTCAGTAGTGTTGTTTAATAACTGATAATTTGAACGAGTATCCACGTTTTGTTTTTGTAGGAGCCTACTCTTACTGCTTTGTTTTTCTTTTATATATATATATGTGCTATTGCAAAATACATGATTATCCAGTGCTGCAGAGCAGAAATAATTGGCTGGATGGGCAGGCTGGTCCAGCTGTGTTGAACATTTGTGTTCAGGGTGATGTGCTTCCAGAAGGCTACTAGGGTTTGGAAACCGCAGAGATTTTGGTTGCATACTTGATATGATGACAGTTAATGGCTTAATTTCTGTTACTTCTGGTTTTTCTGTGTCCCAAATGCTACATGAATTTCTTACACAACTTGGTTCTAAAATTATTCAAATAACTGTATGGCTGACCTTTAATAATATTTTAAGGGACATTGCAAAATTCACCCTCATTTTAAAGCTCAAATTAAAATGTAATTGCTGTCATACTTCTACTGTTTTGTAAACATAACCTCTGAGTGTTACCCCACACCTGAAAGAATTGATAATGTTGTTTACCGTAGGTACTGCTGGCAATAGATGCTCCCAGAAGACACAAGGTATCAGTACATGTCCTTGCAAGGGAAATGGATTCCTGTAAGTATTGTACTGAATGTAATATTTAATCAATTCCTTTTCAAGCAGTCATAGTTAAAGACAGCCACGTTATATGGTATAAATACGATGCACTGCATATATACCTTTTAGAGGAAAAAATACTTCTTTATAGGTTTTCCTCACATGGGTGCTTCAAAATTTGTGATTAACATTTGTGACCAAATTTTTCAGAATTTTTCTGAAACGTCAACTTTTTCTGAAGTACATTGATATTAAAATGATATATCTTAAAATGTAATGCTGCTTTTGTCAAGAGAATATTTTAAAATAAACATAAAACTCTGTAACATT